GCCCGATGTGGGACTCGATCCAGGGACTCCAGGATCATGACCTGAGCCGAAGGCAGTCGCTTAACCAACTGAGCCACCCAGGCGCCCCAAAGGGACAAGTTTTGATGACTTAGAATTGTGACATATTTCAGTCAATCAGGCTCAGGCTGATATTTGTATTATCTGTAGATTGTGAGGAGGATTACCCAATTTTCAAGTGGCTTTAAGGTCTTTAAAAACACTTGTTTGCATATTAACAATGTAAATGTGAGCGCTCCTCCGCTTATTTCATGTTTGCATACTAACTTCGAGCCTGATACATAGTCATTGGTGCTCAATAAATATTTACTGAATGAATGGTGTGCTTATTTATTCATTAAAACAGGCCCTGTAGGCGCCTCTATCAGGCAATGATTTTGTTTGCCAGATTTCTTTGAAGGAAGAGAATGATTTATTGAGCAACAACTATGCGCTTGTCACAGTGAGGGATGCTTTTACACATGCATTCTCACTTTTAATTAACTCAAATAAAATGGGATTTCTTTTAATATAGTAAAACCTTTAGTACTCCAGACCATCCTCCCTTGTAGTCCCTCTGAACAGCGGAGTTTTACTGAGCATTTATCACAAAGGGAGCATCTGCTTCTGGAAAAGGTCAATACTTTCTAACCTCTCTGGAGCAATAGGAAGAGGTTGGCCTGTAGAAACTGGTAAGGCATCCTTTCAGTTGAGCGTTTCTTGGGGCCTGGGAGGAAGGTGACTTACCTGGCTTCTAACTTGAGCTTTATCAGTGAGTTAGACATGCAGAAACTATTTGTGCAATAGTATGATCAATCTGCTTTTTTTCTAGCCAAATGAATTTCTTATCCTTTACTCTCGTAGCCAGTTTTCTATTTGGGGAATGTAGTTGTTTGTGTCATGAATGGGGAGTCTGTTGGAGATGCTGGTACTCGCCCCTTGAGGTTTTGTTGATGAAAACTCTTTTTGATTTACTCTGAGGGAGTTTTGTATTTCACTCATCATTATGTTTCACCTGACAGTACAAATCTTGTAACTGCTATGAAGGTTGAATTTAGTTAACTGCTCTTCAAAACTGTGCGATGCTACCTCCATAAAACTACACTTAGGGCATTTGTTAGGGAGCTGACATAATGACATAAAAATCTACATGATGGGAGAATGAGTCATACCTCTTTCTTGGAGAGAGACACAGGGGCTACTAACCCCTTTTGATTGAATGCTTCCAACTTGGCAAATTGAAGGCAGCAGCAGGAGAGCCAACTACACAAAATGATGTACATTAGGAGGCCATTACAAATTCTTCGTTGCTGGGTTGTGCACAGAATTATCTTATCATTGCCTATCTCTTTGTTTTTTGGATGTCCCAAACATTGGGATAATTAGATAAGTAGAAATAAGAGAGGCTTGTACTCTCCAAGGCTCATTTTTAATGCATGCAGGCACATGTGGCATAAAGCAAAATATTCAGGAAAGTGCTCTTGCTGGGAAAGCTGCAGGGAATGACCAATACTACTCCTGGTGTGAAGAGTGACATCTGCTCCAAGGATGCCACCCGAAGCCTTAAATGATCCCCTACCAGTAAATACTAAAAACAAGTGATGCATTTGACTGTCTATTGATTCCTTGTACTGCTCTGTAGGCTTTTCTTTGGGGCACTGGGGAAAAGCTTCCTAAGGAGGCCTAGAAATATAGCAGGTTTCTGCCTTTCCCCATGTAGATAGCATGTAGAAAGGTTCTCTTTGGCAAAAGAACTACTACCACACTGGCTCCCTTCCACAGTCCATCCAAACTTAAGAGCTGTTTGATGAGCCAGAGGATGCTGCTGTAATGTCCACCTTCAACTTAGGAGCTTCCTAGAGAATATCCCAGTCCCCCTAAAGTAACACCATATCTCTGGAAAGTTTAAAATTTTTGAAGCTGTTTACATGTTCAATCCATAATTCTTGAGGGTAGTGAGTTTACTTTACCACCCACGGTGTGGCACAGAACTAAATATTCATTTGCCCTCAATTGGCCATTTCTCAAGCATCAAGGAAGAAGCTTAGAAGCTTCTACTTTGGGATTTCTAGATTTTGATGAATACATATCCATGCTCATTTTTCTGCACACTCTGACATTCTTAGACTCTGATCCTATTCCCTTTTCGGATGGCTTTTCTCCAGACCAAGGTCTCACTTTTTGTGTGTTGTTATAAGGCTCCTGCCCGCACCCCAAAAAGCCATTATGGTCTTTACCATTTTTAGAGCTCTCTCGATATCAATTCCTTGACTCCAGGGCACAGCGGGATTTGCTAAGCAGTCTCCAGCACTGCCTCTCCGGGACACATCCACTCGCTGCCTCCTCAGATAACGGAAAGCTTCTGCTATGACCAGTATTGCGTCGTGCGTCAGTGCAGATGTATACTGAAATGGATGTATGGAAAACACGATATCATGACAAATGACGCCCTCAAAACCTGCCTTGCTCCTTATAATGCTCATTCATCTCCACCTCTTGTTCTACAAAGTCACCCTCTTAATTATTTGAATCAAGAGCTCTCTCTGGGCAAGCCCGACTTTGATTCATTCTAGAATGATCCTTCTTTCCTTGTGTGTGCACATGTTAAGATTATTAAGATCAAATGGCTCAAGGGAGTCTCTCTCTTGCTCTCGGTACTGTGTTTTGTCTTGAGTGAGTGACTACTAAAAGGCCAGGTCCTTTATAGAGAAAGAAATACGTGTGAGGCTAAAGGATGGCATATGTAGATTGGTTATTGCTGTTTGTAATAGAAAATTCAAGTCTGGTGTTTACTTAGGGGAAAATGGAAATAGCTAAGTTAGACAGCTTGAAATTAATTTGGAGGGAAACATTAATCATTTCTGTCTGGACCATGTTTCTGGCGAACTAGGACCTCTGGCCAGCAATAAATCAGTTTTTGTTTCTTGGGGGGAGCTGAAAACCAAAGCTGGTTTTTGATTGTAGAAAATTACAATTGTTATTGAGTTTTATATCTGATAACAGTGACAATTCACAGGCAATACTTCATGATACTGCCTCTTTCAGGCAAGAACACTTAGTTTCTATCCCTTGGATATACTGATATGCTCTACTAGGGATGAGGCCAGTCACTTAATACAAGGGATTTGATTATCTGCGATTTGACGGGGTAGAGGCCTTTTTATTAAATGAATCAACAAAGTCTGATTAAAATAAGCTGGCCCCTGTTTTCCAGGTGTGACAAATACTGGGAGGATAGAAAATTCTACAGATTTTTTTTTTTAATGAAGCAAAATGTCCTACGGGGCGTTTTCTCTCTATAGTATGTCCAAATATGACCAAGAGTGAATAGAATACATTGTCATTTCTACGACTATCAATTTACTTTTCGGACTTTCCTCATGTTACTTTTCTTTGAGGAACAAATCTTCAAGTGTGACTGTAACAGGGGGCATATGTTCTCTCGTGGAAAAAAAAAATCTTTGTGTCTGTCCATCCTAGCACTACATAAAGCCAACATGGTGATGATCTCTTTTCCAGCTGACTGCATGAATAGTCTGCGATTCCAAGCCATGCCAAAAGAGCTATTTAATTTCTACTTTTTCAGCTCCTACTTACCAATGTGTGAGCATGTAAAAAAAAAACCCACAAAGGAAACATTCATAAAATATAGAATAAATTAAGCATCAGGATTGTAATCTCCAGACAATTTTATTTCCTAATCAAAAATATTACCATTTTTAAAAAATGGGCTTTTTGTCTGATTGCTATAGAGCGAGTTTCCATGACTAATACTAAGCAAAAGCAATCTGAAAGTTGTAACCACCTATTTAAAGATTCCATTTTCTTAAGCTATTTAAAGGGTTTTACTTACAAACCCCTCTTCTCAGCAAGTTCTGAGAACTTTACTTTATACATACCATGAGTTATCAATGAATAATCCAGAGCTAAGATTGTTTTCCTTCTCTTTTGTACAACCTCTACAACTTCTGAGCAAACATAAACTACTCTGTAGTATACTTTTCATCCTTTTACCCTTGTCCTTTTTTTTTGGTGCCTAAGACACAGTGCCTGACACTTGGTAGGTACCTCTTAAAATATTGCATAAATGAATTTCTTGACTCTACCTATTATCTGCTAAATCTAAGGATGGCAAAGCAGTAGACAGGCAGTTTATGAAAATCTAAATTTGTATAAGCTCATTTAAATGTAGTGGGTGGATTTAGTACATTGAATTTGAATGTAAGTACAAAATTTGAATCATCAGGGAAATGCAAATCAAAAGCACATGAGATATCACCTCACACCTGTTACAATGGCTAGAATCAAAAGGACAGGAAATAGTGTTGGCAAAAATGTGGAGTAAAGAGAACCCTCTTGCACTGTTGGTGGAAATGTAAGCTGGTGTAGCTACTATGGAAAACAGTAGGAGGCGCCTCAAAAAATTAAAAATAGAAATACCATATGATCTAGCAATTCCACTTCCGGGTATTTATTTCAAAAGAAACAAAATCACTATTACAAAAAGATATCTGCGGTTCAGTGCAGCATTATTTACAATATCCAAGACATGGAAACAATCTAAGTGTCCATCAACAAATGAGTGGATAAAGAAAATATGGTATATACATACAGTGGAATATTATTCAGCCACAAAACGGAAGGAAATGCTGCTATTTGTGACAGCATGGATGGACCTTGAGGGCATTATGCTAAATGAAATTAAGTCAGACAGAGAAAGACAAATACTGTATGATCTCACTTAAATACAGAATCTAAAAAAAAAAAAAAAAAACCAAACCCCAAACTCATAGAGATAGAGAACAGGTTGGTGGTTGCCAGAGGTGGGGGGTGGGAGGTGGGGGGGCAGGGGAAGTGGGTGGAGGTGGTCAAAAAGGTACAGACTTCCAGTTATAAGATAAATAAGTCCTGGGTTTGTAATGTACACCACAATGACTATGGTTAACAGTACTGTATTGTATTTTGAAAGTTGCTAAGAGTAGATTTTAAAAGTTCTCATCACAAGAAAAAATTGTAACTACGGTAGTGGTGGATGGTAAATAAAGTTATTGAGGTAATCATTTTGCAATATATACATCTACCAAGTCATTATGCTATACACCTAAAACTAACTTAATGCTGTAAGTCAATTATATCTCAATAAAAATTAAAATAATTATCCTAAAAAAATTGGACTGCAAACCCTAACCCTAACATCACAGGGATTGCGACCATACTTGCTGAAACATATAAGGACACCTGATCTGACCATGGGACAGAATGTTTTAAAATGGGACTTCCCTGGAAAAATCCAGCATGTATACTATAATCACTACAACTACAGAATACCACTTAACTAGTGAGTGGCTTAAATGAATGAACAAATTATGTGTAACTTACCACTTTTCTAGAACATAGCAATTGTATAAAGTCAGGGCCCACTTGTATTATGTTCTGATGTGACTCATTTAGGGTGGACCTGACTAGGTGATACAGAATGTGTCTCTTGTCTGGTCTATGGCCCCTTTGTTCTCCCTTATTCTATTCTTGCCAGGGAGGATGTGAGGATGGGTATCTTGAAGCCATGAGAAAAGAAATATTCACCCCCTTTCCTTTTTAAGGGAAAGGCCTTGACTCTACTTTGATTCCTTATCTTGATCACAGGGATCCCACAGCCATGGTATGTACATACTTTCACTATATAAGGAAGGAAGAATTTAAAGTCTGTGTCATACTTGGATCGATGCACTGAGGGAATGGTTACTTAAAACATACACTTGAAGGATCCTTTGTGTTACATGAATAACTTTCCCGTAATTTATCTGTTTTAATTCCTAATTTTTAAGTAATAGGATTTCTAGCCATAAGGGAACACATGTGAAAAATGTACACTCTAAGCATGACTTTCTACCTTTAATATTCTTATCTTGGTTTCATGAAAATGAGCAACTTAGGTAATCTAATTATTTTTAAAGATACTTTTCCAGGCAGGAAAACATTTCCGTTCAATATACGTATAGGCAACACGCACTCTGTATTAGAGCCCAATTCACTTGGGTGTACTGAGATTCATGAAACTTATTAACACAAAGCAATCACATAAATAATGTAAAATCTAATTTTCTGTTTCAGACTATCAATCTTCCTTACCTATTCCCACAGCCCCCACTTTTTGCCCAACTCAGGTTCTTGTAATATTGTAAATTGTTTTGAGCATGTTACAAATGAAATTCATTAAAAAATTAGTTAACATTCCCAAACCCTGGGTTTTAAAAGACCTCCTTTCTCAATCGCTTCTTTATTTGCAAGTTTAGTTTTCAAATGCAGCGGCACCTGCCGTTTGGTTTTTAGCATCGTTGAAACACTTCTGAGTGAAGACCACTCGATCACAGGATGGCTGTAAATATATAAAGGCCATACTGAGATGCTGTGAAAAGTTGGCCTAAGGTTTCTGCATGCCATGGGACATTACCTTTAGTGGTGCATTCTTGGCTTCCGGGAATTCCCTTTCATCTAGCCTCACCCAGCGCTGAATAAACTGCTGAACCATAGGGTTTTCGTTGTTGACAATCTGGAATCCGGTGATGTTGGCTCCCCCGTGCATGACTCTTTCCAGCAAGATATCGGTAAAACCCTAGAAAGAGAGTGAGAGAGAATCATAACTGTGGGGGTGGTGTGTTCTTAACGCTCTCTGTTGGTTAGAACGCTAAGGAGGAAATGAAAAGTCCTTCCTCAGGATCACTCTTTACCACTCTTTACCAATCAAGAAAACCCTGAACACAGTGCTATATGTCATTTACATCTCAATTACAACAACAACGATGAGGACAGATACAAAAAAAATGCTGGATATGGACTAATTCTTAGGGCACTATGTCTCCAAAACTACAGGCACGATGGAGAAAATATGCATTCTTCCATTTTAGTGCCTGTGTCTTTATTTAGTATAGCTGCTGCAAGGACAAACACAGGTGTCAACTTCAAGCAAATGTTTTGATCTGTTTCATCTACCTGTATTTTTAGTCTTTCTTCACTGAGTACAAATACAATGCTTCCTGTAACTGGGAAAGTGTTGAAACGTTTGACCCTAACTAGAGGTTTAAAATTTTTTCTTGAGCGTAACATGCCAAGCACAGCAGATTGCTTCAGATTCTAATGATGAGTACTTTCAATATTTGTGACTTACAGAAATGCCAAAGAGCGAAACTGACAGCTTGGTTGTATATGATGGTACAAACCCCAGGGTATGTCTCACACGTGTTTATAAACAAGCCTTGACATCTACTTCAGATCACCCACCATTTTCTTCTCTCACTCTGGTTACCATCTGGTGTCTCTGTCACCTAAGCCTTCTGAAGGAATCTCTTCAGGTTCACACCAACCCATCCGCACCTGGGTACTGCCAGCTCCACTGGGCACTGCTCTCTTCTGGAACACTTCTCCCAGGAATCGCACTATTGCTGCTGGATGCCTGGCTCTTGCCAGTTGCAGTGGATGCATTTAGGTCCTCAATGGGCTGAAGCCAACATTTATATTCATAAATGGGGAGAATTCTTCCTCCCTTCTTTAGACTCTCCTGCCCAACATTTTAATATAAAATTTTCAAATATATAAAAAAATTGAAAGAATTGTACAGTGAATACCCATATAGTCTCAACTCAGATTTCACAATTAGTATTTTTCTATCCATCCATCAATCCATTTCATTTTTTTTATGCATTTCTAAGTAAGTTGTGGACATTAGTATACTTCACACCAAAAGACTTCGGCAGGCAGGTCATTAACTAGAGTTCAGAGTTTGCATCTTTCTTTCTTTCTGGTAAAATTTACATCCGATGAAACAGACAAATCTTAAATGTAGCACTTAATGAGTTCTGATAAATGCATACACCTGTTCTCTAAAGTTTTCTTTTCTTTTTTTTGCAATCCAAGTTTTTTTTAAGATTTTATTTATTTATTTGTCAGAGAGAGAGAGCACAAGCAGGGGGAGTGGCAGGCAGAGGGAGAAACAGGCTCCCCACTGAGCAAGGAGCCCGATGTGGGGCTCGATCCCAGGACCCTGGGATCATGACCTGAGCTGAAGGCAGATGCTTAACTGACTGAGCCACCCAGGCATCCCAACATTCCAAGTTTTTATTGAAGTATAACAATCATATAGAAAAGTACACATATCTTTAAGTATATAACCTGATGAATTCTCACGAACTGAACACATAAATGTAACCAATATCCAGAAGGGTCCCCTCTGTGTGCCTCTCTAGTCACACCCCTACACTTCTTTTAATTCACCTTTCTTTATATTTTAGTGATACAGCTTTTTCTTTTTTTTTGTCTTGATATTATAAAAGTATATTTCCTTACATTGATCTAAAAGTCAATGAAACTCAATTAAAATACTAGTTGGATTTTATTTTATTTTATTATGTTATGTTAATCACCATACATTACATCATTAGTTTTTGATGTCGTGTTCCATGATTCACTTTTTGTGTATAACACCCAGTGCTCCATTCAATACATGCCCTCTTTAATACCCATCACCAGGCTAACCCATCTCCCCACCCCCCTCCCCTCTAGAACCCTCAGTTTGTTTCTCAGAGTCCATAGTCTCTCATGGTTCGTCTCCCCCTCCAATTTCCCCCCCTTCATTTTTCCCTTCCTTCTATCTTCTTTTTTTTTTTTTTAAAGATTTTATTTATTTATTTGACAGAGAGAGACACAGTGAGAGAGGAGCACAGGCAGGGGGAGTGGAGGGGGGAGAGGCAGGCTTCCTGCTGAGCGGGGAGCCCGATGCGGGGCTCGATCCCAGAATGCTGGGATCATGACCTGAGTCGAAGGCAGGCGCTTAACGACTGAGCCACCCAGGCGCCCCTATCTTCTTTTTTTTAACATATAATGTATTATTTGTTTCAGAGGTACAGGTCTGTGATTCAACAGTCTTACACAATTCACAGTGCTCACCATAGCACATACCCTCCCCAATGTCTATCACCCAGCCACCCCATCCCTCCCACCACCCCAACTCCAGCAACCCTCAGTTTGTTTCCTGAGATTAAGAATTCCTCATATCAGTGAGATCATATGATACATGTCTTTCTCTGATGACTTATTTCACTCAGCATAATACCCTCCAGTTCCATCCACGTCGTTGCAAATGGCAAGATTTCATTCCTTTTGATGGCTGCATAATATTCCATTGTATATATATATATACCACATCTTCTTTATCCATTCATCTGTCGATGGACATCTTGGTTCATGAAACAGCTTTTTCACTTACTACTTGCAGCCCCCTCCCTCTTGCTTTCACAAGTGGGCCTTGAGTCCATGGGGACTGGACAAAGAGTTTGCATCACTGAGTATCATTCCTCCTTTCTGATAATCAAAAAGCTGTTTTCAAAGTTAACATTAACTTGTTAGGTTGAGTTTTGTCTCAAAGTCTTCTTTCATGAAGGGAACTAAGATTGCTTTCTCCCATTTGCTGCCCCCCGCACTACAATCAGCAAGGAGACTTACTTGGTATGAAGTCTAGTAGAGGCTCCAACTGGGGCTTAAGCCTATTACCCAACTCCCCACTCCCACCCCCTAACATATATACAAATAAAGAGCCTGGGCAAAATTTTAACAAATGGCTTTAATTCACTCACTGTGCCAAACTGTATTTGTCAGTTAACAAGTATTACACAGGAACATTGACCAACTGTGCACCTGCCTGCTGGCGGGGATGAAGAGTGGGCCTTCTGATGCTGTCCTGTGTCTTAAAAGCCTGGGCTGGACAAGGGGAGCTCCTTTCCTTGAAAGAAGGGGGTTGAGAATGCTTGTGCCACCATCCTGGTCTTCAGGGTCAATGGCCACAGCATACACTAGGATGTAGTATCTCTTACGGCCCTCGCACTTTGATAAGCATCACACTCCTGTTTTCCTAATATCCAGAGCAGGTTAAATGGCAACACAGAATTAACAAAAGGAAGGGAGAGAGAGAGGACCCCGGGACTCTCATATCTGTCTTAAGGCATAACAGCTAGCACTTTGGTCTGCTTACTCACCATTCCGCTCCTTTCCAGAAAGATGTTCCCTCACCTTTTCTTGGCAGGGATACTAAAGGGAGGGGTCCAGCTCAAATTTACCTCACCAATCACACCCACATACTCCCAGGAGGCTTCATTCTGTCATGTAGGCCCCACATATTCCTGCTTGGGTATCTTCCTCTCCAATAAACACATTGTAATTTGAAAACATCTTTAGAGGCATACTCTGCACTCATCTTTCTACCACACAGCAACCATACCACTGAGGACCTAGAAGTTTCACAGTCAATCCATGTTTTATGACAGACATGCCTGGGAATGAGTTGTGGCACACCTCGAACTGGAATCAGCCTGGCTGTCCTCATGGGATGAACTGCATCCACAACAACACAAATCAAGCCAGGGAAGGTCACCTCAAACTGTTCTGGCTGGGAAGACCTATACAACACTAGCTCCTACCGACTGCCCCAAGGGCTTATCCTTCCACAAGGGCAGAGAGCACTAACACGGCCCCCATGGACAAAATGGAGGGAGAAGCATGGTAGAAAAAGAAAGGAGGTAACAGGTATTTAGGGAAATGCGATCTTGTCGCTTAAGGGCAAGAGTTGTCTGGCTTCTGGTCTCCCTTTGTTTCATTTGTGTACATTTTGCTTATCTGTAATCTCTTGGATTCTATGGCTGAATGTCCTCCTGGTACCCAGCATTTGGATGCAGCAACCCATATCCTTGAGGTTGAGACATTCAAGGCTAGATTCTCCCTAAACCCTCTGAAAAGACATGAATACAGCTGAGCTGACCAACAAATCTCAAGGAAGTAGAAGGGGAAAACGGAAAGGAGGTGAATAGTAGAGAGGGGGCTGTAGAGAAAGTGGTTCTGGCTAACAGGTACAAGTTGGTTGACTCTTCATCATCCTATTTCTGAAACTCTTTTTTTAAAAAGAACTTTCTTTTTGTATCAAATATTGCTAAATCCCATGGTTCGAGTGGCCATGGACAGTCCCCAAGATTATAAAAACTAAAATTGTTAGATTTTTTTTTTTGAAATGGCAACATACCCACCTCAAGTTTGAATCTAAATGCCAAATACTTCTACACCCTCTGTAAAAAGACTAATGTGAAAGAAATGACCACTAAACAGATAAAATGGGTAGATGACATAGAACAGTGATGAACAGTGGGGTAAAGAAGGAAGTTAGGAGAGAGTAGCAGAAACTGCCTGACTCTTAGCCACCCTTCATTTCTGTTCAATTGTTTTAAAACATGTTCTGTTTTCTTTCACATATTTCCATTGTAGTTGTGGATAAGCACAGTCCATGATGTTTTGAAAATTGAGGCCCGAGTCTCCTCAAAGCCTCATCAAAGACACTAATTCAGCCGACCTGACCGCCAAACCTTCAACAGACAAGTGATGCTATGAGCAAATGGGGGAAAAGAGACAAATGGTAGGTATGGTGGCATCAGGGTAGAGATTCTGGTTTTCTTTCTCCACTTACCTTTTAACTTTAAATAATTATTCTTGCTTATAAACTCTTGCTAGATTTCCTTTTTTGAGCTTTTCGTCCATAGTCCTTGAGTTTGGAAAACTGAAGACAAATGCCCTAAACTC